TGAGATATGTAAACTTGGGATTGCAAGAGGTGGAAAGGAAAAGGCCACATTTAACACAACAAACCTGATACGGCACCTCAAAAACAAACACCCGACACAATACAGCGAGTTTACCCAGGCAACCCAGCCGAAGACGAGTCAGCTCACGCTGCAGGAGAGTTTGAAGAGGAGAGAAAAAATGCCCCGTGACAGCGCGAAGGCGCAGGACATCACAGCCAAGATAGCACAAATGATCGCAATGAGTGACCTGCCATTCGCCTTTGTAGATAACCCTGGATTTCTTATGCTTATGGAGCACGTAGAACCTCGATTTGAAATGCCATCTCGCCACTATTTTACCGAGAAAGCTCTGCCAGCCCTTTATAAGAAGATTTCTGACAAACTACTTGTCCTGTTATCAGATGTACCCCATGTTTCGTTCACCACAGACATCTGGAGTTCGTCCGTAGCTCCCATGTCTCTACTAAGCCTTACCGCACAATGGATTGACTCAAGTTTTGTTTTACGCCATGCGACCCTACATGTCCAGGAATTTCGCGGATCGCACACCGCAGAGCGCATCCAGCAATCGATGGAAAAGATGCTAAACAACTGGGGAATTGGCAAGCAACGGGTCCACGTAATTTTGCGTGACAACGCGGCAAATATGAAGAAAGCTATGAGGGATATGGGGGTGCCGAGTGTAGGCTGTGTTGCCCATTCCTGTCAACTCTGTGTGCATGAGGGCCTGCTGTCTCAGAGCAGCGTGACAGAGACCCTGGCCAACGCAAGGAAGATTGTAGGCCATTTTAAACACTCCCCGTTGGCCTACTCTCGACTAGAAGACATACAGATGGACCTAAATATGGATATCAAGCGCCTACAGCAAGATGTACAGGTGAGATTCCTCTCGTAACATTCTTTAATGTATTTCTATTTTATTATTATTTCCCATACACTTGATTTAGTAAGCTACTAATACATTACGTGCTCTGCACCTAATTTGCACAAAAATAAAGTGAATCATGTTCTCTTATGTGCAGACACGATGGAACAGCAGCCTCTACATGCTGCAGAGCCTACTGCAACAAAAACGTGCTCTTAGTGTCTTTGCAGCTGAGCGCACTCTACCAGCAACACTGACAGCTCACCAGTGGGAGCTGATGAATAAGACTGCTGATGTGCTATCCCCCTTTGAAGAGCTGACCAGGGATGTGAGCAGGGAGACTACAACTGCAGCTGATGTGATCCCTGCCATAACAGGTCATTTGTATTTTTATTTATTACTTTATACTGTAACATTTATTGATG